CTAATACATGTTTCTCTTGATTCCCTTTCTAGCCATTACAGAGCTTACTTACAGTACATGGGGGTTTTTCTTTAATAACTCTGCTCTTACTGGAACTTGTTTCATGCCTGAACCAAAACTCCTTACACAGCAGCTCATGGCTGGAGAAAGTAGAGTCACAAGATTATGAACATGCAAACCCCAACTATTATCCCTGCATGCAAAGGGGGATTAGAAGTTGCATTAGCAGTTGTAGGAAGGTCTGTGGAGTAATTATTTCATTCCTCCAAGCAGAATTAATTCCTACCCTAGCACAAAGCTTTTGGATGGATGAGACTGATTTTGTGTCTCATTCAGGCTTATCTGATCCAGTTTACAAAAGGATTGTTTCTCTGCCTCCGTGTTTGTATTTCTTCTCCAGCTGTCTACTACAGAGCTGGAGCCCAATTGTATGATTCAGTAGCCCTTAATGATGCATTTGCCCCAGTCGGTTTTAAAGGATAGCTGTACAAGGAACTTGCTCAGGGATGTGAGTGGTGGCCTTTGATTCTGCAGACTGCAGCTCAGTGTCTTGGGTGGCTCTTGCCTTTCCTTGTGCTTCTGCTTCTCTTGCCTTGTGACATGAATTTCTCCAGAGCGTGTTTCCACTGCCACCTTCACCACTGGCCCATCTTGCAGTACCTGAACACATGGTGCTGATCAGGAGCAGCCTCTGCTGAGTTTCTCACTGAGCTAACTGCTGCTTTGCTCAGGCAAGGTACCATTTAGAGCAGCTGCTTCTCTTCTGTCTCCAGCCATTTCTCCCCCACCCCTGGGCAATTTTTATGGATTCTTCTGTGAACTCTCACTTGAACAGTTGTGGGCCATTGGATTTTCTAACCCGACCTCCATCAAATTTTGGTTTGGTGACAAGGCAGGAGGAGATTTGATGCTGGTCTTGTCCAATAGGTTTTTGCAGGATTCCACTTCTCTAGGCTGCAGCTTGAAAAGGGATCTTCCTTTCCCCCCATTTTTCAAGGTTTCTCTTCCTCTTTGTCACTTCCCTCCCATATTGATGTTGCATGAGCGTGTTTCATGAGCGTGCTTCTTTGTGTTTCATTTAGCCTTGTCTACGTGTTTCACCTAGTTGCTTTATTCCTCCTAAACATTGCCCCAATTTAATAACGACCCCACATATTTCTTTTGCCAAATCAGGGCCTTCACCACGCTGGTGTGTTTTCAGAGGGCCACTAGTAACCTCATCCAGGAAAGCAGAGCGTATCTGCTCTGTGTCTTCTCTTGCCACAGAAATCCAAACCATTCCCCAACCTAAGTATTCCCACACCTCTGCCTTGTCACCAGCTCATTCTCAGCTAGAGTCACCTTGGACTCCTTATTTCATCTGCAAAATGACTGGGCTGTTGTCAAATTAGTTTCCATGAAATATACCTTTTCTTTTTCAGGTGTGAATCAGGATATACTGGACAGCACTGTGAAAAGACAGACTTTAGTATTCTTTATGTTGTCCCAAGTAGACAAAAGCTTACGCATGTCCTTATTGCAGCAATAATTGGAGCTGTACAGATTGCCATTATAGTTGCAATTGTCATGTGCATAACAAGGTAGGTAAATTCAAAAACAGTGAAAAATTACACATTGTATGGATATACTTTTTCTGTGTTTAAATATTTGACTCCCAAATTTTTATGTGCTTTAACGTATGTCCTAAAGTACCCACATAAAAAATACCTAATGACTGAAGTGGAAGGATTATGTAACATCCTATTGACTTTTTTTTTTGTCACAAACCACACATTTGTTTAAATTCACAAACCAATGGTAACTACTCTGAATCCCCAGTCCAAATACACAGCAGAACAGATCAGCCTTGAAACACATCCAAAAGGTCAGCTACTGTGTTAGACCTTCACTGGAGTTATTCAAGCATTGATGATATCTTATAGAAGCTATGATCCCCCCTCACACCCAGTGAAACCAGAGAGGTTGACAAGATGCTGTTCCCTGCAGTACCACTGTAAATGGTGTTACACAGAGAGAGAAGTATCCCTCACACCATATATGCTTTCTGAAAATCAATGTGCAGCTAGTCCTGTTATTAGGCACTCTCCATGGGAACCTATTTTATGAAATGTGAAGATGCACAAGCACAGTGTTCAAGTTTCTGGATTGTCTCAGACTCTCACCCTGTATGAAAACTGAGATGAGAGCCATGGATTCTTTTTGATGACAAGGGATTCAGTTTGCTCATCAAGGACTTGAACCCAAGAAGGACTGAGGGCTCTGGGATAGATTAAGGATGACTTTGTTCCCTTATAGGTACATGAAGTATTTAAGTCCTACACTTGGGCATCCATGCCACACTTTGAGTTTTCCTCCTCAACTCGTCCTTCACTTTTTCAGCCCCAGTTACATTGGGCCATAAAACTTTCTGCTACTGCATTAGCGCATGGCTTCCCAAACTCAGTGATGTAGAGTGACACCCCTGTGAACAAACAGTATAAGCCTGCTTCCCTATCTGTCTCATAAGGTTCGACATAGCAGGTATAAGTACACATATCTAACACCTCCTGCACATGTAAAAGAGTTATTTGGCTCATCCAATTGATGTCATCCCGTTTTTTACTCAACACCCTGCTGGCCAAAGCAGTGGTGTTGAAGGCTGTGGTTCAGCAGCCCTCCTCTTTCAGCCTCCCTATGACCATTCCCCAGCTCACAGTCTCTCGGGAATAGTCTGTCTGACGGGCTGAGAAAGTCCCGTCCCATTCAGAATTGCTGGGTTTTGTGAATGCTTTTTGAGTTGTGTGGCCATCCCCAAGAAAGGGATTGCCTGAGTCACCCCACAGAGAGTCCTGGGTGGGCTCTGTCTCAGGGGCTGCCATGAGCAGCAGGGCGCCTGGAGAGCCAGCACTTCAAAAGGCTGACTGATCCAGTCTTACCATCCACTGGGTTTTAAGTATGAAATACGTATAAAGTAAAGCCAATGCAATTATTCACCATGGTACGTGTTTTGCTGGATGAAGGCTGAAGGACAGCACCTTGCTGGCTTCGGTCTCAAGTTCAAGCAGAACTCCCTTCTGAGTGATCTGGGGTCCCACAGGCATCCCCAGGTGACAGTCTGATACCAAACAGCAGGAGCATCCCCCCTGTCAGCACAGCTCACAGACTCCTTGCTATTGTTAAGTACAGAAAGTTACATCCATGTGTTATTGCTAGGCTTAATTTTATGTGGCATATATAGAATCAGCCCTCCTTTTTCTTTCTCTCTCTCTTTTTTTAACAGAAAATGCCCCAAAAACAACAGAGGACGTCGGCAGAAGCAAAACCTAGGCCATTTTACTTCAGATACATCATCCAGAATGGTTTAACTTAGTGATTTTTATACCTACATTGACCATGTGATGTACATTTTTATTATATCTTTTTTTAAAGAATGGAAATATTTATTTCAGAGGCCTTATTTTTGAACATTTTTAGTGTAACAATGTTGGTCTGTATTCTGAAAGCATCAGCTCTAACAGCTATGGACTGTTTTAGTATCTTTACTTTTATGTTTTTGAATACAGTAGTTCATTTTCTGTATCTGTATCACATGGTTATATAATAGACTTGTGCTTTATCCATGGAATGTAATATTTTTGGGAACACAGATTTATTCCACCAATTGTTGTAGATTAAAAAAAAAAACAAACAACAAACCAACAAAAAAGTCCACATTACCTAGCAAACAAGGCATGAACTAAAGGTAAAAATGTTTACAGCTTACTTTTCTTATGAGAAACTAGAAAACACTGTGTTTAAATACCGTAGATATTTAAATGTTTTTGGAAGTTAGTAACTGATTTTTTAGACACTGCCTATCGCATGAACTGTGAAGCTGTGTGCTGTGTGTAGTTGTAACATATTTATAAAATGTGTGGGCTGGGTCTAAGCACTGCCATCTTCATAAATAATTCCAACAATTTATTTTTAAAGAGGAAAATTATAAATTTCATAATTTCGGAAGTTACCTGGTAGAGCAGATGGCACAGGTCCAAAAGAAGTAGGTCTTAGTAGATTTAGGTATTGTAAAAATTGGTGTTGAATAATTGAACACAAATAATTGGAATAAAGCCTACTTGATCACTGTTAAAGCTGTTTTAATACTTCTTAAACTTTTTTAAAGAAAATACATGTTTTAACACCTACAATACAGATTGTATAGTGTTTGTGATTAAAATAAAAAATAATAATAAAAGTGAATAAATTACTAGTGCTCTTGTATAGAGTATTTTCAAGAGCTAAAGAAGTCCATCCAAATTAGTCTGCTGGTCATAGTTATAATAATAGACTGTTAGTTGTCGTTTGAAAGATCCCGAGATAAAGTGTGAATAGGATGTGTTCAGCTGTTTTAACATGTAGTTTAGGCTTTCAGAATTTTGCATGTGGGATTTAATAATTTGTTCAATAAAAAAAAAATGCTTTCAACATTTTGAACTGGAAAAGCATGTCACAATACAACTTTTTCACTATATTGCCTCTGGTTTAGTGTGTTTATTTGTTATCCCATGTGGTAATTGCAGCAAGCTGAAGACCTGAAGTTGTTTTGCTGGAAAAAACAACCGTGTTAATTTTCCTGACCACTCTTTGAATTCCCTCGGAGGAAAGCATACCAGTAACATGAAAACAAAAGTAGATCGTTAAAAATATGCAAGTTTGCTTTCCTGCTTAATTAGTAAGTTACTTAACTTTCCTGGATTAACGCTAATAACTTCACCAGTACAGAAGCGTGACCCTTCAAACGTAACGTTCCTTTCCAGACATTGCTTCCTAATTTTAGGGGTTTCATGTTGCTGAAAGTATCCGAACAATCATGTGTGGATATTTTGTAGTCAGAAGTATTTGACCAAGCTCCAGGAGTGGCGTTTCACGCCCTACTTTGAGCATCGCCGGAGCCAGCTGTCGCCCTGGCTCCCTGCAGCAGCGCCAGAATCGTTCTGGCAGGATCACCGAAACTTCGCCTCCGGCCGACCCGGCTGAAGGCAGGCAAAATGGATCGCCGCGAAATCACCCCCGAGGCTGACAAAACCCACCAAAATCGTCTCTCCAGCGTCACCGAGGAGGAAGAAGAGCAAGATGCAGCTTACACGATTGTGACGGTCCTGGACAAAGTGGCCAACATTGTGGACAGCGTGCAGGCGAGCCAGAAAAGGATAGAGGAGAGGCACAGGGAGATGGAAAATGCCATCAAGACTATACAGATTGACATTTTAAAGCTTGCCCAGGCTCATGGCAACACAGGCTACACGGTGAACAAGTTACTGGAGAAAACCCGCAAAGTCAGCTCCACCGTGAAGGAGGTACGGGCACGTGTGGAGAGGCAGAGCACCAGCGTGCAGAAGGTGGAAGCCAAACAAGAGGAGATGCTGAAGAAAAACAAATTCCGGGTCGTAATCTATCAGGTAACCACAAGCCTAATTTCTTGTAGCTCTGTCATTGTGCCATCTCCTTGGTAGCTGCTGGGAGGCATCGGTTAATGAACCAAAAGGTGCAGTCTATCCAACGTGAGAGTTATTTTATGCTTTCTTTAACATTGAGTTGTGCTCCTCAATGCTTTTCAGCATGAACCTACTGACGGCAGCACACGCGGTCTATTATTAGTGTTGGTAGGTTCCTGAGCCAGTCGTGTAAGATTAACTGCAGATCAGCAAGGACTATTTGTTGCCTCTCCGAAAGGTAACATGAGGCAGGCCCTGTAAATCTTATCATACAAACCATGCCTGACATTCATCCCTGTTATTTTTTTCATCGTATTAAGTAGAAGTCCAAATAGCGAAAGTGTTTGCAGGCTCCTTGGAAAACAGACTCTCTTCTAACACTAATTTCAAAACATATGGTTGCTTAAACTTGCAGCATTACCCAGGCTGTAGTACTGCTGACAAACTGGGGCTTTTTTCATCGTCTCAGTCAGTAGTAGTATATGCACAAACTAAAGCTCAGACCCACAAACTCTTCATGACAGCAAATAGTACCTTTCATGCTCTACTTTGGAAACGGTTTAACCCAGCAGTGTGCTTCCAATCATATTGGACAAGCAAATCATACATTTTCGTTCATTGACCTCATTGTAGGATGTTCGTTGTTCTTACAGATTATTGTGTTTGAACAGAAATTTCATGAAATGGCATGGTCTTGCCTACATTCATACAAATAGACAGTGCAGGCAGCTCATGGGTTCTGTGAGTTGCTAGCGAGTGCTGTGAAACCCATTTGTTTAATGGCCTGATCCTGCGATTTGCTGAAACTTGCCAGCTCCCCAAGTCAATAGAAAATAAGAGTGTTTAATCTTTTGCCAGAAGCATAGTTTCTCCTTCATACCAGCGAGTCCCCAAAGCTTCTTTCAGATGAGTCGTATTCATCATTAGGCGTTCTTGAAAATACCAGCCCTCACGAGTAACACAATGCGCCCGCATCGCCCAGCCTTACACCCTGGTTTGCATCTGTTTGTACATAAATAACAGTAGCTGCAATGAATGGAGCCGTGTGTTTCACTGAGTATATTCACCACTGTATACAGCTGACAAATTCCTCTGCATAATCTAGCTTTCTTAACTACTTCATTTTCTACTACTGGGAAAAAAAAATCTTAAAAAAAAAAAAAAAAGAGTAAAAGCTGCAGGTAAGAAATGTTACCTCTTTAATGTTATCTTAGTACCATATGCAGCCAAATTGTGCCTCCCAGGTTTTCTGACTGAATGACTTGCTATGCATATTCAGGAGAAAGCATGGGCACAATTTGGCCTATTATTACAATTACTGCAAGCTGCACCGTCATGATGGAATAGAAAACAGGCACTTTCATTTTTTCCTTGTAAATCATTTCCCAGCTAAAAGTAATAACTATCTCTGACACCCCTGGTTAATGGCATAATGCCATTTCATTGATGGGCATTTACCATAATGATTACAGCAGAATCAAGGCTCTGAAAATATTTGTTCTTAAAACAGTATTCATTACATAATGTAAATTTTTCTCCTAACAGGACATGAGCTGTGGCTTATTTAAAAATGTAGTAAAATATGGTGAATATGGATTTACATACAGCTATAAAGAACAGCTGTTGCTATTTTCAGATATTTCATACAAAAGGTGTCTCTCACGATGAGTACTTTCTCTAAGAATCACCCTCAGTAGGAGTTTCTGAGCTCTCTTCTGGTTTTCCTGGACAAGAATGACGTGCACCCTGTTTTGTATGTTTAATTCTTAGGTGGTACTTTTCAGGAAGGGAAACAGCATTTTTGATTGCTGTCTTTCTAGCTTCCTCTTCTTATGGTAGTTGAGAACTGCCAGCAAGAATATGAATGGCTTCCTTTTTAACTTCCATCCCTTCTGTAAGGTGGATTGAAGAACTTTTTCCCTCTTGCATGGAGGAGGAGCAGATATGCTTACCCCTCTGGGATCTGACATTTAACACTTTTCTGGAGGAGGAGAACTGCATTGCTCCACAAAAACTGGAACACACTAAGTAGTCAAGAGTGCACTGAAGCTTTAAGGCACAGGTACACTTATGAAAGTCTCTTTCACACAAGTGCAGTGATTTTCACACTGTTGATTTACACCAGTGTAGGCATACTGCTGGAGTGCCAAGACCTGAATGACTGAAGCTTGGCTACGATGAGTGGGAGTCTGTTAATAAAGAATCAGCATACTCCCTTCACTCTATTTTACAAATGGGTATAACCAACTTGTTTACTCGGTGGTTGTGAGTGACAGCTCATCTGTAGTGAGATTTTTTTCTGATGAACCATTTGGGGCATTGTGTTGGAGCCAATGACCTGTGTGTAGCCGGCATTGAACGCCTACATGGGTGAGTGCACGTGGGTTTTAGTTTTAACTTTTGCCAGAACATCGGCATATGAGGAAAAGGGAAACACCAATTAAATCCTAAAGATTTTCTTTCAAGTGGATAGCTTTGATCTTATCATTGATAGAAGGAGTAGGCAGGTTGAAAAGGATCATTGGCTGGAGGAGATTGTCCCAAGCGACCTCAGCCATGATGAAAAGAGTAGGCAATAGCCTCCCTTTAAAAAGAGACAAAGTGATCATCCATGAGCATAACGATTAGGGAAATTGAGAGCATTCATTTTTAAAAGGCCATGCGGTTGAGGAAGAGATTTGGTAGCAGGCAGCTCTCCTCCCCAGACTGATTGCATGATTAAAAATGCCAGGTTACTTCAGAGTTTCTAGTGAGGTCTTTGACCCTGGAGTGCTGCATGCCCTAAGGGTATAGTAGGGAAGGCAAACTACATTATAGGTTGTGCAGGTCACTGTTCACTTCTGTTCAGGTTAGTCTGAATAACCAGCTGTGAGAGCTCTCATTTCTCTGCAGTTAAAGAGCATCTAACAATTTAACTCATTCTGGCTAAATTATTCAAAAATTAAAGGGGTTTTTTTCTTTTTTAAATCCTAAAAGAACTTGTTTCATTTGCTTTTCTGCATGTTCCACAAGCCCCTCTTTGAATGTGAGCATACAGGCACCAGAAAGTCCATGTTACAGTTACTGGTCTCTTTTCTATTATTACTTTACATTAGCTCCTTAAACGAGTAACAACTTCCTATGAAGGGACGCATGTATTTGTTTCACTCACTGCTGTACGACATTTAAAATCAGTGGACATGTCAGAAACCAAGTAAGGTTATGGCTTGACTGGCCTACACAGCCATGTTGCAACCAATTTGTCTGCCCTGCGATTGCTCCACCAGGCACTCGGGGAGAGGCTAGCAGAAGCAGCCTTGCATATGCTGCTCATATTATGCATAAATAAATTAAAATATAAGTGGCTTTTCCTGCCCACTGTCCTTCTGCAGCATAATGGCTTGGACAGTAAAAATGGTGAGATTGACATGGGGGTAATAATCTGAAAACCTGAAGTGGAAGCACTTCCATCTGAAGTGGCAGTAAAAGTCAGGGTGTCACGAGCTCTAGAGATGAGGACACTAAAAGACCAGGCTCACAAACTTGCCGTCCATCGGCACAGAGTTTTAATTACAGCTATTCTGAGAAAAACCTGTGAGAGTAACCGTGACGTGAAAGGCAGCAAACATAACACTTCTATTTAGAAAAAGACGAAACAATCTGAAACATTGCCATTCATCTGATACCATTTGGGCATAAGAATGGCAGGCTTAGAAGCAGGTCTGCAGAACAGAATCGTTAGCACCATGGATTTAAATGGCTCACCAAGAGCAGATTGTACTAGGTAACTCATATTTGATCATTTTTCTGTTTCACAGAAACATGAGAGGTCTTATCCTTTCTCATATTTATGTACCTGATATCTTACCTCATAACAGATAATCCAGAAAAACAACAGATGGCAGTGGGTTGCGTTGAAATGGGAAGTGAGGCTTGTGATGGGCTTCTAAAAGTGTTTGCTTCTAAGATCGTCTTTGTCAACTGTGTAATATTTTCATTAAAGGTCTTGGCATAGGAAAGGTGTAGATACTAATAAAATATGCTCAAAATGAGGAGCTGTCAGTCCAGAGAAAGAAATAATAGAGAAGAAACCAAATTATCTTTAAGCTGGAGTAATGCTAATTGAAGTGTACACAGTGCAATTCCTGTACTTTTAGCAGGAGCCCCTGTTGTTAATTTGTCTTCTGAGGCCCCATGGTTTGGGAAGGACAGAAAATGGTGTGTTAATTGCTTACAAGATGACTGAGAGCCCACTTGATGATGTGGCTCTTAAAAAAAGTTAAATGTGGGCATGAAAGGCTTCAGGCAAGATATTTCCAGAAATGATGCAGACACCCAGTGCTCTTGCCCAAAACACTTCAGAGCCTGTGTGGACTACCACGTACAGCTCTGATCACCCCTGTTTGAAGTAAGTTGTGTTCAAACTGAACAGGTTTGGAAAACAGCTACCAGGCTGAGCAGAGGAATGGGAAGCCCTGGTACACAAGAGGAGACCAGGAGGTCCTAGCTTGGTTTAGTCCAGCAAGAGAAGAGGCTAAGAGAGGTTGTGGCTGTCATTTATACATGCATTGGGGCACGGATGAGGAGTCCAGTAAAGAACATCAGCAAAAAGATGAAATGGGTGTAAACCGACCGTGAGTCATCTCAGGTCAGAAACCAGAAATGGATTCTTAGTCCTGGAGACATGAGGGTCCAGACAAAGCCTTCTCCTAGAACCCATGGGGAGAGAAGAAAACTTAAATTGCTATTAAAGTGGAGTCTGAAAACTTAATGGAAAAAAAGACGGTGTAGGTTGACTATCTGTGACAGCAGAGCACTGGCCTCAAGCGCAGAGGCCTCAGCAGCCCAACGACACAAGGCCTTTGCTGGAGTCTGGTGGTATAAACCTTATAAATATTTTTACAGCTGGGACAGGTAATTGCCTTCTCTGAGATTACAGAGAATAAAAGAAACCCAACGGTTGTGTCGGGAAGTGTAGCAAGAGT